GAACTGAAGTGCTTATTGTTAAAACCTATGGAACAGCTATTCTGAAAGTCTAGGGCTGCTGACTACCAGTTGGAAAATCCCTGGAGATTTGTGGATGAAACCTAGGGAGGGCAGGGTTTGTGCAGGGGAGGGACCTCAGCGGGGTATAATGTGATAGAGCTCATCCTCCAAAGAAGTCATTTGCTCCAGGGGAACTGATTTCTGTAGCCTGGAAACCAGTAGTAATTCCAGAAGATCTCCAGGCCTTACCAGGACGTTGGCAACACTATCTAATACTGATTCAATTTCTTGTCCAAAACCTCCAGCTTAATTCATCTTATTAAATGATGAGCTACTGGAAATATATCAACATTCTAAGAAGCAGATGTTCAGGTAATGATTACTTCTTTCCCCCCTTTCTGCTTCTCCATGTATAAAATGAACAACTAAATCACATTTTCCAGACTGAGTATTCGTAATAATCTATTCAGTAATCTGTTTCTACTATGCAAAGATGACATTCAGTTACAGGGGAAAATACTTCTTAACTGATGCTCATTCATATACTTATTTGAGGGAGGGGGGAAGATCTTACTGCCTGGTTCTATTATTGATCTCTGCCACCACATACTTAGCAGATAAAGCAAGCTGCTACTGAGCAAACAACAGATTCTGTTCTGTGCTTACCATCCTGGTATCATTGCTATAAACTTCTAAATAACCTGCAGGACATGAAAGTGTTAAACTGGTTGTGTGATCACTCTTCTTTAAAAATCTAGTACATTTACCATTTTCCAGTTTATAAGGCTGGGCAGGGGTCTTGTTGTAGAAAAAGAGCTGCCGGAGCTCATTAGCATAACTCATTAGCATAACTTATTTGCATATGCCACGCCCCCTGACATCACCGGAAGTGACAGAAGGCCACACACCCTGACATCACCGGAAGTGTGTCAAGGCTGGGAGCATCTTTTTGTGCCTTGTAAATGAAGAGTTAATTTCTCTATCAATGCCTCATTCCACTGTCTTGTAGCAAGATTAGTGGTTGCTCTATTTTCTTTCTTCCTTCTCTCCCCCCCCCCCAAAAAAAAACTGGCAGAGATATATTTAGGGTGCAATATCTTGGTGCTCTTTCTCTGTGTATATCCGTATCATTATTTTAATAAAAACAAGGGCATTACTAAGTAATGGAATTTTGCATGCTAAATGTCATGGTCTCTGTCACATCGTGGGACAAGACTAGTCACTCTTTTGCCCTCCTTTACTGTCGCTGTCACCACTTTGGGTAAAATCCAGCCTCTCTCTGTCTCTTGTGGGATGTCCAAAGCCAGCCTCACAGGCATGTTGCTCAGTAGCATGCCCAAGTGGCCAAGCAGGTGGATAAGGGTTTGCATGAATACTTTCCCTAGAGATACAGATAACGAAGAGGCACTGTGGCCTTGAGAGATTGTTTACAGTTGGATGGTACCTCTCGTAACAGCCCGGGAAGCAACTAGCCCAATTAGGCACATTCCAGAGTGATGGAGCTGCGGTGGCTCAAGTGGTTAAGTCACTGAACTGCAGGCTGTGGAAGGTCAGTAGTTCAGCAGTTCGAGACCCGAGTTGCCACATGACGGAGTGAGCTCCCGTCTCTAGTTCCAGCTCCTGCCGACCTAGCAGTTCTAAAGCAAGAAATTGCAAGTAGATAAATAGGTACCACTTCGGTGGGAAGGGAACAGCGTTCCGTGCGCCTTGGCGTTTAGTCATGCCGGCCACATGACCATGGAAACGTCTTCGGACAGCGCTGGCTCTTCGGCTTTGAAACGGAGATGAGCACCGCAACCCTAGAGTCGGACTGGACTGGCTTTCAAGCAAGGGAACCTTTACCTTTACCTAGAGTGATGGAATTATCAGCACCTGTGTGTTGGAGTAATTGGCCCTTAGCTGCAGTATAGATTTCAATTCTCCTGCCCTAGGTATTATGGGATGTAAATTGCCTTAGTAACAAGGAGAAAGTTACATCACGTCTCTGGCCTATGACTGGTCAAGGGCCTAGACTGGTCACAGACCCCTTTTTTCTATAAAATAAGGTTTCATTATGTAGAATGCTGCTGCTTTGAGACTATGTTGGGACCTTGCGTGGTCAATAGTCTGAAGCAACCTAGCAACTGGTATCCTTGGTTTTGATCTTGCCTGGATGGGCTATGGTTTGAAACATCATGTTATCTTGGACTATGGCAACTCTTTGAACATCATGTTATCTTGGACTATGGCAACTCTTTGAACCTTGGGAAGGTAACTTTGCAATTCCTTTGTAAGTATTAGCTATGCTGGTGAAGCTTAGAGGTTATTATTTTCCTGCACTGTCTAAAGTCTTGTTTTTACATAAGTTTGCACCCTAATAAACAAATTATATTTTTTACTCTGTCATGGTATTTGTGCTCTTTGAACCTCAAAGGCTAAATCCATTGTCTTAGACCATAGACCACTGCTACAAGTATCCTTTGTCTGTGAGCTCAGTCTGTAGTCTACTCTGCAGGGCTGACCTTGTGTATTAAGTTCCATAGCCAGTCTGGAAGTTTGGTGTTTTATTCCAGAGCTGTTGGGAGCCACTAAAAGACCTGGTGGCAGACTACCTCATGCTTGAGGGGTTTTTAGATTCCCTTAAGTACTTTGTACTTTTGCTGTGCAACCTGTTCCTTGAACACAAACGTTTGGCCGGAGGGTTGAGCGTTTGTTACAATTATCCCACAGTGAACTAAGGAGCAAAAGCAAATTGTCTTCTGGGAAAGGAAAGAAAGGATTATGGTGTCATGTTTTGATACTGATGCAAAAACCTATTCAAGTGACGCTCTGGTGAGTCAGCTCAGTGGGTGGGAGATGGTTTTATGTAATAACAGTGTCGTTCATTTTCTCCATTTCACACCATCAGGCAGCAGCAAGCAGCCACTCCTCAACAACTCAAGTGAGTCAGGGATGTGTACACAACTAACTCAAAATATTGACAAATCCAATCCATGTCTTTTGCAGAGCAACCTTTGCTTACAATATCCTAAGATTTCTTCCCTTCCCAGTCATGGGAGGCATTTTGAAAACATTGTGACACCTTTTATTAGCAATAACAGAGAAACCCTGGGTTCAGTTTGAGATAGGAAAGATTGTTCTTCAAATTTTCTGTTCCTGCAATTATCAAAATAAGAATCAATTCTTTTCAGAATCATCGTGACAAAGCTTTTAAACTCAATTTAGGTTTTCAGATACAGATTATTCAAGTGTGTTAAGACGGAGTAAAGAAATAAATAAGAATAATAAAACACGCTGTGGACTAAAACAAACTATAGTAATGATAAACGTTTTTCAACTTGCAGGAATTAAATGGATGTTTAAATTGTTTATAATTCTGAGTAAATTACAAAATGTGTGTAGCAGTTTGCTTCCTTTAACTGATCAGCAGCTGGTATTCCAAGCTGAGACACGGCCCAGAACCTGACATGCTGGCAGGAAAAGAGGCAACTAATAATGTGTATTACCTGCTAGCCAGCTCAGTATCGATGGCATGATGGAAGCCTTTTGAGGGGTGGCAGGGTGTGCAGCCTATGGCTGCAATAAGATGGGTGTGGGTCGGGAGTCTACAACCAATGAAGAGACTCACAGTAAGTAGTCCAAACTCCATGTTTGATTGCCAGTCAGCCACGGTATAATTTGCAATGAGGTTGCTCAGATTTCCTGTACTCTGTCTGCAGCGTAGTTGCCGCCGCCACTGTTGCCTCAGTTTTCCTTTGCCTTCTGTCTCTCTTAGTCTAGGACTACCCAGTTACAAGCAGGATACCAACTTCCATAGGTCTTCAGGAAATCATCAAGCAGGGACTTCCGGTTTTTGGCGACTTGCAGGCGGGTGCGCTCCATCATTGCTCTGATGTGAGTGGTCTGCAAACATGCTGATGGGGGGGGGTCCAAGTTGATCTTGGACCCCCGCAACCCCTTATAGGGGGTTCGCAGCATGGGGCACGTGAGGTGCCTCCCCCGAGGCAGAAGCCAAGGGATTGAGGCTCCTTTTTGCCCCAATAGGTCCTCGTGGCACAGAGCCAGCAATGGCACCTAGAGGCGCATACCGGCCCGAGCGCGCAAGTGATCCGAATGAAACGATCTTCTCTACATCATAAACAAATGCAAGTAAAAATGAGAGTGAACTCATGAGTTAGCGAGCAACCGCCTAAATCCCGAGAGTAAAGCCGCCCCCAAATCCCAAACAAACGGAAGGGGGAGGGGAACCCCGATCCCGAAAAAAACCTGAGTTTAAAGCAGGGACCGAGAGGGCGTCTTTAAGGGAGCGGATTTTGACTGAGTGTGTTCTGGATTAGCAAGAAAGCATTCATTACCAGACCTTCAGAAACTTTTGAAATTTTTTTGCCAACTATAAACAATGACACAGCGAGCAGAAAGAATAGCGGCAAAATCGAAACTGACAACAGGAACTGCCAGCACATCGTCTTCGGTTACTAAACCGGAAGTAACCATAGATTTCCTAAAATGATTGCTGCAGCTTTGCGCCCTCTACTGGACCAGATGACCAACCTCAATGACAAGTTTGATACGTTGCAAAAGGAGCTCAAAAAAACTTCAGCAAAAACAGAGAAGTTAACTAAGAAGCTGAAAAAAGTTGACGTTAAGTCCAAAGACTTTGAACAAAGACTGGAGGTAGTGGGAAAAGAAAAAATCTCTGAGAGTCAACAATTGCTACTACTTCAAATGGAAAAATCAGCGTATGTCCTGAGATTTCAAAACATTCCGGAGCAGAAAGGAGAGAACCTGAAAGAGATTTTAAGTGAAGAGCTCGCTCCCGTGGTAGGCTTAACAGCGGAAGTGATACAAAGCGATATGGATATGGTATATCGTACTTATCCAGAATTTATTTAAAAAACCAAGCTACCCGGGGAAGTATACGCGAAATTCTCAAAAAGGTCAATGAGAGACTTAATTTTGAAAGCAACAAACGGAATTGTCAGAAAAAATCAAAGACTTAAAAATGTTCCATTTGAGATCAGGAAAAGAAGGAGACAATACAGAGACTTTTTGCAAAATCATACCACTCCATACAGATGGATATTACTGGAAGGCCTTCCACTACAATGGGAAAAAAGAAAAGACTGACTTTGTTTCTAAAGAGAAAATATTCCTGAAGCAACAACAGAAAGCGAGTGACGGATCTGAGAAAGTGGAAGACAATAAAGAGGCAGAAGAAGAATATAGAAAGAGGGGAAGTTCTGACAATGCCGCAAATAGCTTGGCAGAATCCTCTGACCTGGAAGCAGAATTAGGGGATGCGGCTCCTAAACCTTTAAAAGTTAGACTGGATTTTGATAAGAAGTGCAAAGGAAAGAAATAAGCAAAATAGAGTAACTTTGAAAGTCTGATGTTTATTATAAACTAGTTATCTTAAAGCTAAGAAACACACACTTTTGCCAAGCAAGGTTGTGTTTTCTCACTTTATACTTTTATATTTTCATAGTATTCACTCTCATGTATTACTATTTGAGTAACAGGGAATATCTTTATGTATTAATGACCCTTGCTACTCGTACTTTTAGGTTGTTCCCTTCCCTTGACCCTGTAGGTTTGTAGAATAGAAAAAGCTATATATATATATATATATATTTTTTTTTATATATATATATATATTGCTTTTTCAAAGACTTTCAAAGTTACTCTATTTTGCTTATTTCTTTCCTTTGCACTTCTTATCAAAATCCAGTCTAACTTTTAAAGGTTTAGGAGCCGCATCCCCTAATATATATATTAAAGGAATGCCCACAAAATTCATGGTCCTGTCCCCCAGCTCTGTGGGCCCCAGTCCTGCCTAAGCCCCGAGGATGTGCCTTTTCCATGTACCACTGCCACTACCCTCACCCAGCCATCAGAACTCCTGGCCACACTTGGCCTATCAGTCCTTCTGTCAAACTCCCTCATTGCCCCTCTAGCCCCCACCCCTGCTGGCCAATCTTCTTAGATGTTCTCAGTCCCCCAAAGGTCCCTGTGTCAACCCACTGCTACACATGGGGCTTTTTAAATTGCTCACAAGATTTTCATTTGATTAATCACAAGAATGTATCAACTAAGGTTTGCAGCCTAATAAATAAAGGAGCCTTTGAGCCAAAGTAGACAATATGTTTTGCCATGAGGATGGGATGTGGTCCCTCCAACCCATCTCTGATCTTCTCACAATCAGACACCAGCTGCTGGGAATTAGGTTCCCAAAGTGCCACAGGGGTCAAATTCAGATTGTGAGTGTAGCAGACATGGAGGGAGGGGCTTCAAATTAATCCCTGCAATGTTTTCCTGACCTGAAACAGTCAAGGAGAGTGTTATTTGCATCATATGGCAAATACCCCAGCTCAGTTCATGGAAAAACGTATCATCTAGTTTGGGCCTAAGTGACTGGAAGGGTTCTTACACAATGCTATTGTTCTGTGGCCTATCAGCTGGGTCTTTTGGTATAGTGGTTAGGGAGCCAGTTTGGTGTAGTGGTTAGGAGTCTGGGATAACCGGGTTTGATTCCCCACTCCTCCACATCCAGCTGCTGGTGTGACCTTGGGTCAGTTACAAGATCCTTTAGAGCTGTTCTCTCAGGAGCAGTTCTCAAAAGAGCTCTCTCAGCCCCACCTACCTCACAGGGTGTCTGTTGTGGGGAGGGGAAGGGAAAGGAGATTGTAAGCTGTTCTTAGACTCCTTCGGTTAGTGAAGGGCAGGGTATAAATCCAGTCTACTACTACTCTTCCTCTTTGTTATAATGGTTCTCTTAATTTTTCACATCACAGTTAATATGTTGACTTTGGGTGTGGAGACATAGTCAGTAGGTACTGACTATCTCATAGCTGGGAAGTCATAATTTTGTTTTGGTGCTAATTAACTGGGGCCATTATATGTACCCATTTCTAGGGATGGGCATGAATTGGCTCACAAGCCAAAATTTGGCATGAATTTGGGCCAATTCGGAGCCTCCGAACCAATGGCTTTTTGACCCATTTAAACCTAACAGCTGAGTGGCATGAGTCCACAGCTGGCCTGTTAGATTTAAATGGCTGCAAGCCATTTCAGCCTGACAGGTACATCCTTCCAGCTATTAGATTTAAATGGCTGCAAGACATTTCATCAGAGGGTTTCACTTCCCCCTGCTTCCATCCATTTAAACCTAACAGAAGGGAAGGTCTGCCTATCAGCTTAGGTTTAAATGGCTGCAAGCCATTAAACACATTGGTTTCACTTCTCCCTGCTTGGAAGTGGGGGGAAGAAACTGGGAATTTTGGCTTGGTTTTGGGTCCACCCTGAACCTCAAACCAGATTTTTTTGGCTCGTGCCCATTCCTACCCATTTCTGTTATGTTTCTCTTTAAAAAAAAACACCTAAATCTTTTCTACAATCCTAGTAACTCGCTTTTTAACAGTTTAATTTTTCTCCTAAGCATTTCTTAGGTGGGAGGAATGAATGAATTTTATTGTAACAGCGATTAGCCAGCAATATAAAACCAGAAAAAATAAATTAGAATGGCCAAATAGTAAAATTTCCAAAATTCAGCAAGGTAAAAAGAGCTAACATTATAAACGCTACGTTCATTAAAACCAAACTAAAAGTACGCTGCCATAAAACACAGTATAGTATAAAAGAATAAAACATATTACCAAAGGGAACGGTACGAGTTAAAATCAACAGTCCTAACCCGAGTGCCAACCATCATGCTGATGCGCTTCTACCACCAAGGAACAAAATTTCGCAATCTGATGGAGCGCTGTGTGTTCAAGGTTAAGAAACAAGTTCTCCACCTTGTCCTGATCCAAAGTGCCTGCCAGAAGGGGATCAATAAGTTTAGTACGAGCCTCTTCAAATAACGGGCTAGCTCCAAAGGATTGGCCTAGCTCCAAAGGAGCATCGCTAGATGGAGGCGCTCCAAGCAGCGTTCCGTAGAGCATCTGGGCAAGTGTTTTGGCCTTGTAAAGTTTTAAAGCTGGTGGTACAAAATAGCCCCCTTGGGAGCGGAAAAACTTAAGAATGCCATGAGAGGATTTTTCACCCGAGCAAGCAGCTGCCTGGCTATGGGCAGTCCTAGATCCAGAGGCTTGGATGATCATGCCCAGATAGCGAAAACTAGCTACCTGTTCGAGGTTCCGCCCGTTTACCCTCCACTTCCTTAGTTTGGGTCTCTTGCCAAAGGCCATCACCTTTGTCTTTGTATAATTTATAACCAGCTCCTGCTCACTGCAATAGCAAGCAAACTTCTTAATTGCCCTTCTCAATCCAATTGGGGTTCTAGAAAGAATAACAGTATCATCAGCATATAACAGTATCGTAATAGAGCGCTGAGCCAATTTGGGGGGATGAAGATCTGTATCATCTAGGTACCCAACAACATCGTTGAGGTAGAAATTGAATAGAGCAGGAGCTATCATACAGCCTTGCCTAACTCCCTTTAAGGTGGGAGGAGATTATCATGGGGGGCTAAAGCAGCTGCCTTTGAGGATCAGTTAAAACTCCTAGGGCTGTTTAACCTAGAAAAGAGGTAGTAGATAGTTGATCTACTAACCCGTATATGTAACCTGTCACTAAATTCAGCCCCTGTAGCAGAAGACTGGAGAGTAGCAAATGTTACACCAAAGTTTTAAAAGGGATCCTGAGGGGAACCAAGAAATTATAGGCCAGTCAATCTGACATATTTCCCAATCAATTGAGTAGAAACTGTAATAGAGTTGTTAGGCACATAGAGGGACAAATTTTGCATGCTAATTTACACCCCACCCTCTATATATAGGACTGCTATTTCTAATTCCATTTCAATGTCTGATGAAGTGTGCTTGCACACAAAAGCTCACACCTTGAATAAAACCTTGTTGGCTTTAAGGGTGCCACTGGATTCTAAATTTGTTCTTCAGACCAACATAGCTGCCCACCTTGATCCTGCTGAGGGGAAATCAGCATGGCTTCTGCAAAGGGAAGTCCTGTCTCACCAACCTTTTGGAGTTTTTGGAGAAAGAACAAGCATGTAGACAATGGCAACCTGGTAGACATTATATACTTGGACTTTCAAAAGGCTTATTACAAGGTAACTCACCAAAAACTCCTGAGTAAACATAGCAGTCATGGGATAAGAGGATGGGTTCTCTTATGGATCAAAAACTGGTTAAATGACAGGAAGCAAAGAGTAGGAATCAATGAACAGCCCTCACAATGGAGGGAAGTAAGCAGTAGGGTCCCACATTGGGGCCAGGGCCAGTACTATTTAATTTATTCATCAGTGATCTGGAACTAGGGGTGAGTTGTGTAGTGGCCAAGTTTGCAGATGACACAAAATTATTCAGGATGGTGAAAACCAAGGCTGACTGTGAAGAGCTCCAAGAGGACCTCCACAAACTGGGTGAGGGGGCGACAATGTGGCTAATGAAATTCAATGTTGGTAACTGTAAGGTGATGCACACTGGGACAAAAAAATCCCAGCCTCAAGTTTAGGCTAATGAATTCTGAATTTGCTGCGACTGAGAAAAAGATCTTGGGGTCATAGTGGATAGCTCAATGAAAGTGTCAACCCAGTGTGCTGCAGTGGTGAAAAAGGCAAACTCTATGTTAGGGATTATTAGCAAAGGGACTGAGTATAAAACAGCCAATATTGTAATGCCCCTGAATAGATCTATGGTGCAGCCTCATTTGGAAAACTGTATATAGTTCTGGTCACCGTATCTCAAAAAGGACATTGCAGAGCTGGAAAAAGTACAGAGGAGGGCAACCAAGATGATTAGGGAGCACCTTCCCTATGAGGAAAGACTGAAGAGTCTGGGAGTTTTCAGTTTAGAAGAGACAACTAAGGGTTTTTTTTTAATTAAAGAGGTTTTTAAAATTATGCATAGGGTAGAGAGGGTTGACAGAGAGAACCTTTTCTCCCTCTCCCAAAATACTAGAACTTGAGGGCATCCAATGAAGCTGATGTGTACTATGTTCAAGACAGACAAAGGGAAATACTACTTTAAAAAGAGAGTGATTAAAATATGGCATTCACTGCCAGAGGATGTAGTGATAGATTCATGGAGGATACGACTAGCAATGGCTACTAGCCATGGTGACTGAGGGGAACTGCCACATTCACTCTGAATCCCAGAGCCAGGAGGCAACATCTGGGGAAGGTTTCGGCCTCTGTGCCCTGTTGTTGGACCTTCAGAGGAACTGACTGGCCACTGTGTGAGACAGGATGCTGGACTAGATGGACCCTCACTGGTCTGATCAAGCAGGGTTCTTCTTATGTTCCAGGGTGCCCAGCCCTATCCTGGAGCAGCTGCTACCTTTTGTCCAGTAGTGGACCCTCATCCGGCTTCCACTGCTGCCTTTGTGACACAATGTGGCACATCT